ATCCGTCGGCGCCGCATGACTAGTTCTCTATGTGCGCCAACCCTTTTCGCCTTTTCTTTTGCGCGTTCCTTCACCTCTTCCTCTCTCTCTCTCCCTTCCTCGTCCTCGCGTTTTTTCGTCTACGTTTCTCGATAAGGAGACGACGAGTCTCGATGCACCGCGGGATGCGCTTTGTGAACAAAAAGGGATTCATGAAGCGAAAGATGCTCGCTTCAATTCGACTACACGGCTCATTCGAGAAATAATTAAATTCATGATACCGATGCTTAGTTAAATTGATCGACAATTATTACATTACTTTTCCTTTGTATTTTTTATGTTAATTAATATTTTAAATTGATAACTAATTATTAATTAATTTAGTAAGTTTAGTTTTATGAACCCGTAAACTTTATGTAAAATTTTTTCTTCCACTTGTTTTTTCACTTGGGAGAAAAACGCGTCTGAAAAATTTACTTCGAAATCATTTCAAATTCATTTGTAAAATAGGAATTATGCGTATTATATAATAATGAAAAGCTCGTGGTATAACATATCTATAAGCGAATAATATTTATCTTTTTTTTTCTATTTACAGAAAATAACTTCACTAACACACAATTATTATTGAATTTATAAAATAATATTACAGGCATAAAAAAGATAACGTCTTCAGATAATTGGCGCAGGTTAGATTTTTTTTCAGGAATTTAACAAGAATAAAAAAAATTGTCATACAGATTTGAAAATTGTAATTTCTGACCGATTTTAAAAAATTTTTCTCTTAGAATTCTCTTCGAGTCGCGTCGAAATTGTGAGGAAGTCGCGTACCGTTAGCTACCAATCCAGAATAATAAGTTTCTGGGACGATGCACGCGATCGGGTGCGACGAACTGTCATTGCTTGCGAAAGGGAATGCGGTTGGTCGAAAAGAGCTAGAGCCAGAGCCAGTTAAGTTTCTAATAATCAGTTAGCCCCGCAAGCGTCCCCGATTACACGATGCAAGCGTCATGTTTTTGCGTTTTACTCATCGAGGGAATAAATAATAAAAGATCCATTTGATAAAAGATCGATTCATCAAGAATAATGAGTAGTCAGAATTTCGTAAGAATTTCTTTGTTGAGGCTAATAAAAATTTATTTAATAAAATATTCATTTATCGAAGAGAGTGAAATCAGATCTTTAATCAATTCAGTTCAATTTGTTAAGGACACTGATGGATCTAAGTAGTCTTGGTGAAGAAAATAAATAACAGAGACTTAATTAAGAAAAATGTTTTATTACAAGGATAAGAGGGGGTAAAAGAAGAAGGGATTAGAAAAGAAAAGTAATAGAAAAATACACTTGTCGCATTGGATTAGGAGGAACCGAAAGAGGAAACGAAAAGCAAAAGGCAAGCAAAAGGCTTGTTTATCCCTCCCTTGTCGAACTCTCGCGGGCGCGGGATATGCCCTGGCGCGAGATCGCCAAAGAATTTCGCTTCTCGAGTGTGCGTGTGAGTCATACGTGCAGAAGAGAGCAGCAGAGAGTTTCCTTTCCTCTCGGAGGAACGCGAGGTCACGAGGAAAGGAACGACCTTGCCTCGCGGAGAATATTTATTTCGAGAATGGATTTTAACGAGAGTCGCGGACACGCGGTACGCGACGACGGCAGCGATCGGCAGCCGGATCCAGTTCATCGTCCCCGATTCCTCCCGATCGTGAGCCAACATTTTTTTTTTCCCCCCGGTCATTCCGCCGACCGGCCCGCGCGTCTTACATACAGCTTCTTATTTTTTTCGTCTCGAGGAAAGAGGAATCCTAGCCGTAGTACCGAGTCGAGTACGTACCCACGATTTCTCGCCGATTACGTATATACATACAGGATGCATCGCAAAGCGGAGATCTATATCAGCATCGAACGTCGGTCGCTCGAGTGACTTTTAATTGTTCGTTCATCTCTCTCCCGCTAAAATTCCCTAATCAAGTAATTTTCTCGTTTCTTCGTGCCGCGTCTTACTTAAATTGACTGTTGAGTTTTTTCGGATTAGATTCTATTTAAATCTTAATTATATTATTATTAACACCATATTAACGCGTAAAGTAAACAGGTTTACCTTTATCTGTCTATATATTTATATTAATAATAATATATTATTTTGTAAATTTTAATTTTTGCGCTCGACTACGTCACTTGTCTACTTTTTTCTGTTAATTGTTTTTTTTATTTCAAGAACCCTTGTGTGCTTTAATTATTTATTAATATAATTATATTATATTATACACAGTAATTAATTGATTAATTATTTTTATGTAAGTGTTTTAATAAACTTAAAATTTAAATTCTTTCCTTAATTTATTTAAATTATCTGTATCTAGATGTGTTTTTTAGATTAATTTGATTTAATTTGCGTGTTACATACCATTCTGAACAATTTTCGCATGCAATTTAGTGTAGATTGCGATTACAATCTTTTTACAATAGACTTTCATTTCGCACAATTGTTTTTTGTATTATATTATTAATATGAAACCATCCATTAAAATGTAATTATTGTTAAATTAAAAGTTGAATATGGATATGGATTTTAAAGAATTTTATTATCTTCAAGATGATTATTGATTGTCTATAGAGAGACAAAATGTAAAGACAGAATTAATATAAAAGTGGAGAAATAAATATTGGAATATATATGTAAATATAGCGAATTTAAGAATCCATGCCTATATCTCAGGAAAGTAATAAAATTTCCAAATTTTATCCAATTCCTCGCACATTGTGACATTGATTACTTTTGTTTTTTTTTTTTTTTTTTTTATTAGAAAACAACATAAATAAGCTATGTAATGTTTGTTTCCTCCTAAATTTATTTTTAATTATTGAGTAATTAAGCTAATTTAATAACTCTGTTAAAATGTTTCATTCGAAGAAATCTTGCCTCTCCGCCTTCAAACATTGGCCATCATCTTTCACTCGGCAGAAAAATTCCACTTTGCGTAAAATGCATATCATTAAACTACCTTTGTTATTGTGAGGCAATTAAAAATACGAACAATTTAAGTGTGATATAATTGTGTCAACTTATGTTTTTCAACTTACGCTCGTTTAAATCATTATTAGTAATCATTGTTCGAATTAGTATTTCTGTAGAGCGTCGCGGGGAAAGCTCACCTCTCAGTTTCGCGATCGGATTTTTCGCCAAGTGTTAGTGGTCCGTCGCGCTATTTTCTAAAAATTCCTCGTAATGCTTGCACGTAATTGCAGCTCGTTCGCAACTACTCCACGTATATACATACAACGCGCGTGTGCGAAACTTCTCGACGCGACGGTCGCGTGCCGACCGCCTCATAACACGCTTACTTTCTCTTCGTCCCTGCGTCGCGCGCCGCGGCAACGAAATCTATTTCTCCGCGCGAGCGAAGACAGCTCCCGCGACCCGATTCGCCACAGCGCGGATCTGCTGTGACGGACGGAAGTGTGAAACGCAGAAGAGATTTTTCACGACGCCTCTCGCGAATCGCTCCTGCCGCTCCTATCGGATTTATCTCTGTTTATGATCGCGGGTGTACTCCACAACGGATCTTCCGCACCGCGTAATTCCGACAACTGATAGCGATATCGACAACGAGGCACCCCCAATCGTCGGGCACAGCCAATTGTCCGCCCTCGATATCACGATAACGTATCTCGTCGTGACAAGGGTGGGGAAAATCGGGAAAAGCTTTATCGCCGGGAATTCGTCTCGTTAATATCGTCGATAAGCTCGCTTCCGCCTTCGCTTCCGCCTGATTTGTGTCACAATTCAGGGCTCGCTCGAACAGCAACGTCCGTGGCATCATCGCGATAAAGAGCCCGATGACAATCGCAAACAAGTATTTCACGGTTGGAGACGAACTTCCTGATCGCGCTATCGCGATCCTTTGTCGCCGCGGGGAAACGAGATCGAGCGAATCGGATCGCGACGCGCGATCTAACGCGAGCGGGATCGATGGATCACCACGCGCATTGCAATCACACGCGGATCGGCGTGATAGTGAAAGTAACGGGCGCAAGGTCACGCCGTTCCATAAATATGCAATTATCGTCTCCCCGGGGGCCGCAGCCTCTCGCAATGCGTCGTCGTCGTCGTCGTCGTCGTCGTCACGGGGATTCGCACGCCGCCCCCTTATTCATCTGCCAAGACGATCAATGAAGTTCTGAGAGTAAATATGAAGTTGTTTCGACACGACGTGTTGCCGTTGCGGTATCGCTCTCGAATTCTTTCGTCATTATTGTTTTTTCTTTTTTCTTTTTTCCAGATCATTCGCTTCGATTTTTAGTCCTTGCGTCGAGGTTGTAAGAATTCGTATCTTCGGGACTTGCACATATTTTACCTCTGGTATTAATGATAATATTTATTTTATTCTTCCATTATGCTGTTATCCTCAAATCTTTTATCTGCATTATTTTTTATGTTTGTTAAATTCTTATCTTTTATCTCGTCGCATTGCAAATTTCAAATAAATAAATTTATTTTTAATAAACTTTGAAATTTTAATGTCTAAATTTACAAAAAAAGTTTTACAAAAAATGTTTTAATATTAATGTAGTAATAATATAATATAATCGTAATTTTATCGTTTTTTATGTTATATCATTCTTGATTTTATTGATATTTTATTTTATATTTATTTTATTATATATTTGATCGCTGGCGCGTATTTGAGCGCGTAAAATTTTAAAACTTTCAGTTTTAATTTTCCTACATCGTACTATTTTAATATGTCATCATTACTGTCATTAACATTCGTAGTTATTCTTATTATATTTTCTTGTTTGCTATATCTTCTGAATTGTTTCTTGTTTGATTTTTTTTTGCGTTTTAGTGTGCATAAAATTCCGAAATCTCAGAATTTCAAGCTTTCCGTATGGAAACTTCGCGCACATAGTTTTCGCGTAACAGCGTAAACAGGGCACGCAACAAAACTACTTTCATTTCTGCTCGCGGCGATTAATAAGTAGGAAGTTAACCCAGTAAAGCTGTGATTATAGCGAAAAGGAGTTTTAGTTAAACTACAGTAATTCTTATATTCTCTAGAGGGATTACTTCTAAAATTATCAATTGATTAATAGTCTGACGGTAAGTAGTAATTTGAAAAATCTTCAGAAATGTTTGTTCCAATAAAATAATCGTAATTATAATATAAGCATATTTAATTGAAGTATTTCTTTCTAAAAAATTCACAGATTAATTTACAAAAGCATCAAGTTGATAGTATTGGAAGACACTTTTTAAAAATCTTTAAACTATTAAAAAAATATATGAAATTGTTATCTACGGAATATCAAATAATCCAAAAACATTTTTTTAAATCTTCACATAATTTTTGGGCACGATTATCTTTTTAAAAGATACTTTATTATTATCGAAAATCAGATTCTAAAAAATTGAAAAGAAGATAGTTTACAATTATTTAATATTTAATAAAATAAAATGTTCACAATAAGATAAGTTAACATTTTTATAATATAAGAATAATAAATAACATTTAAGAGTTAAATAATAATTCAAAATAGTAAGAAATATCTGGAATTAAATGTTTCTCCTAAAAAGGGGACATTGGTTGGTAATAGCTTAATAAGCAACAATCGCTAATTAAGTGTCGATGACGCTTAGGTGTTAATAAATATAAAAGCTGGCGTTTGCGGTAATTTCTAAGCGGACAGGAAAAAAGATAATAAATAATCTCGTACTTGCTGATTCGGCGATTCAATTTTTACTGAATCCTTATTCTCGATATTCTCGCGATGCAGACAATCATGCTCGGCGGAGAAATCGAAGGGTCACGTATGCTTCCTGGATCCACTTCCTTGGAATATTCGAACCAATCGATGAAGCTGATCGTTCCGCTACTTTCGCACGCTCTCTCTCTCTCTCTCTCTCTGTCTTCTCACTAATGCTATATCCGTTTTTCGTCAACAGCGGGCAATGTGGATCCGTGTGATGATCATCTGGTACTTAGGAGGACGAGAAAACTATCGCGACGACGACGCAGACGACGTCGACGAGATCGCGCGAGATCGCTAGGATCGGTGAAAGCGGAGTCGAGGTGAACGTTGGCCGAACGACGACTGCCGTGGCATCGTCTACCAAGGTACCAGAGGCAGTTCTCGAGGAGGCTTTCCCCCCCGCCTCCCGATCGGAGCGAAGTACTTTCACGAGAGAGTAGGTAGAGAGCGAGAGGCAGGAGCCGAGGCGAAGCAAAAGTGAGTGATTTGAATGCGAGGTAACAAACTCGCGGGCTACCATCTTTTGTCCTCGAGAGCGGAATTATGATTTTAAATCTGTTTTTAAAAAGTGACAATCCTTTGGAGATTTTTTTTTTCAAGACGAATCAAGTGGGACCGAATGACAATCTCCTCCTGCGTGTGAACTTTCATTGAGAATGCAGAGTGGAATGTCGCCTGCAGAATGGCAACACGCTTCGTAATCGTGCAAGAAGATTTGCTGATTCGCGAGAAGAACGCGGATGATAAATGTATATCTAGCTAATGATAAAACAATGTCAAGTGCTTGAAAAAATGGTATCAAGACATTTGATATTATTTTCTGAAAAGATTCTTAGCTAATCGAAGATCAATTCAAGTTCCCAATCATCTGACCATTAATAATTTTTAACTTTACATGAATTTGAAATAATAATTTATATGTACATACTTAATATTTTTCACCATTCTATGCACTTCACTCGAATTACAGATTATCAATTTTTATTTTAATTTATTGTATCCTTTCAACTTATTTCATTTTGTTAATTTAATCTTGTTGTAAGGAGAATCTAAACAAGGATTGAAACGTTACATTGTTATTTACATGTTATAGATATCAAAAGAGATATATAATTTTCTTTTTTATTTTTCTTATAATCTAATTTTAAAAAGAAAGAAAGATTTAAAAAAACCTAGAATTTATAAAATCAAATTAATAATAATTTTTAATAATAATTTTTTTATGTCACATATAATATAATAAAATAAAAAGAAAATAAAATTTTCAAAAATTTATTTCTTAATTATAAGTAAATTACATTTCTTTTAATCTTTTTTTTCAATTACATGAAACCTTTTTATATCCAGACTTTACGATACTGCGACTCATAATTTAAGAAATGATGTTCATATGTAAGTCTCAAAAATATAATCTCGAAAAAGTATTTTCAGCATTATATATTTGATATATTATCCAGAGATGATAAGGAATTTTACACCGAATAAAAACATAATTTCATGACTTCAACACACGTGTCTGATTTACGTCTCAACGTAAAACATTCTTTTACTTCGTATCAATAGTTCTTCTAACTGATACATATTTTCATATTATTAAAATAGTAAAAAATATTAAAATAATAAAAAGAAACAATTATATCTAAATATCATAAGCTAAAAATGTTTATGTTATCTAATGTTCATGTCATCTATTCATGTTTTTCAATAACATTTTTTTTCAGTGAACTTTACATATTTTGTAGCCTTATTTACTTCGTTTTTGTCATAATTCGATCAATATTTTTTTTCACACATCTTTCAAATTTTTTATATATTATTTATTATAATAATTGTATAATTCATAATTTAATTATACGATTAGTTAAAGTTTGAATATTACAAAAGAATTATTCCCCCAATGGAGATGAGATTAATTTGTAAAGACGTATGTTTTCATGACGTAAAATCACGCGAGCATAAGAACTTCCGTTTTATTTTCGAATTAAATCAATTCTTGCTTCAAAGTTTAAAGTTAAAAATGTGCAATGTCTGCTTGAGATAAAATTTTCATTACGGTTAGCAGATTATTCAATCGAAGAATTTATACGCGTGATATAAGTTATCTATTATAAATACATATACGTAGCAATTTTCATTTAACATACGTGTGTACAAAAATTGAGTTGTTCTGAATCTGGGACTCTCTATATGTATATATTGTGCATGTGTACACGCTTACATTTGCATCATCAGAATCATAGGTCACTCTTCGGGCTGTTAAGATATTACAGCACAAAGTGACAGAATGGTTGAATAATAATAATAGTATATACTGCTCGATGCAAAAACAGCGAATTTGTTACGATTACTCTAATTCTAATTACTTGAATTTTCTGCATAATAATCTGTCATTATTACACAGAGCATGATATGGTAAAATTGTTATATATTTGTTTGTGACTTATTATGATTGTTTCAGGAGAATAGTTCATGGCATAATTTGCTTTCTGAGAAAATCAAATATTTTTAAAGCAACAAAAAACATATTTTTATTGGAAACTTATTTCTTACGTCACAGACATAGTTCAATTGAAAAAATAAAAGTATTTTAAATGTGTATATGTAAACATAAAAAATATATATACTTACTTTATATTTTTTAATATATATTTTATCAATACAATGTCTGATCAATAAATTTCTCACTGATCATTTTATGCTCGATTCCATCAACATAAGTTAATTTTAATCTCGGTTCAACTTACTCTTCGTCTTTTTCTAGTTTTAAGAATTAAAATTTTTATATGTTTAAAATACACATTTAAAATACTTTTGTTTTTTCAATGTTTGAACAATAGACGAGTTTTTTAATTCATCGATTGATTAATCGCATAATGCGCAAATGCTGTTTTTATGGAGCAAAGTTGCGTTTGCGCATAATGCGATCTATTAATCGAATTAAAAAACTCTCCTTATATCTATAACGTAAGAAATACGTTTCCAATAAAAAACATGTTTTTTATTATGTTAGTGGAATGGGGCACTAATCGAGCAGGCGTTAAGTTGATTCGTAAAAAACAATTGAGAAAAGATTATGCTTCTCTCAACACTTTACATTTCCACTCTAACAACTTTAATTCATGCAAATTAATAATTATTGAA